CTTGATGATCTTAGAGGTCTTTTCCAACCTAGTTGATTCTATGACACCCCAAACTACCAGAAGAGAACACCACACCGACTACCCCAAACACACATCCCAAAGCTAAGCCACTGATAGCTCTAAAGGTCACAGAGCTGGTGATCACCATGCCAACTTCCTTTTTGGACTAAATCCCACAGGATACTAATCTGTATGTAGATAAATACTTTTCCCTAATAAAGTTATTGAAACTCCAGTGCTCATGTAGTTTATGACATTTTAATACTATTCCAGTTTCATGACCAAAGCCACCAGACACTCAGCGCTTCCCAATGGAACCCTCTATTAAAATCCTTGTGCAGACAGATTCTCCTCTGGTGAAATGCCACTAAAATGCCTGCCAGCAAAATTAGGCTGAGCATACACAGCCTATCTGGAATTTTAGTCTGCAGGCCTATTGACATGGCAGGTAGATACTTCAAATGAAAACAAGGTCTCCCTGTACTGCTCTGTATGCAAACAGAGATTGCCTCTTGTGTGGAAAGACTAGAAAAGTAATTAAGAGTAGTCTGAGGATGAACAGAAATACTAAGGATTAGGCTGGAGTGCCCAGAGTACTTTCGAATTCCCTAGTAAGATACCAGAATGACAGTTTGTACCACATATATTAGTGAGAGATGGAGTCTGCGCTTGTCTGTTGGCAGTTAAAGAGCTCACATACCACCTATGTTGCTATGGGGTCACTAAGTTCTAAACACAAATCAGCTCACTGTGGCCTGACACCCTCCTGCAGCCCATAATGAAGACAGATATCAAGGCTACAAGCAGGAAGGATGCCTAGACAATCAGAAAAATACAGCTCCCACAAGGTGACATTTCTGTTTCCTTTTTCAAAAAATAGGGAATATCAAGTCAATATTAAGTGTGTATCAAAACATGATCAAATCCCTCTCTTCCAGCAACATAGAAACTCTCACAAATTCATCTGGCTGAGATATGGCTTGGATGAGTGCACCCTCAGCAACTGTTTCAAAAAAACCCACTTCCTGAAACTTCAGGGATTATTAGATTATTTTTCATTTAATATCCACCTATGTGCTCACTAAATCTGACTTTGCTTAGGTTTATGACTGCACCCAGAAATGGCTTTTTTTGCAGACAGCTTCTGTGGCCTGTTTACCAGCCTTTAACAGTTTGGCTGCGTTGCTTCTACTCCAAAGATTCATTCTCATGTGCAGGTTGGGATTTTCCTGGCTTTGGGTTTGGTTTTTGTTTTGTTTTTTGTTTTTTGTTTTTTTTTTTTGTTTTTTTTTTTTTTGTTTGGTTTTGTTTTGTTTTGTTTTGTTTTGTTTTGTTTTTAAATTTGCTTTGGTTGCTAAGGGGGAAGCTTTAGCATGGTAGGCAAGGATTTAGTCACATGTGGAATACAGGGAACATTATCCCTAGAGATTATTTTGGAAATCAAGTGACAATTGACAGGGTATGTGTTTACATCTATTTCTTGAAAGCTTTAAAAGTACCACAGGACTTCTGCGTCCTCTGAAGGAGTTCTATTTTTTCCTGATCTGTATTACTCAACCTCAGAGACAAAAAAGAGAGTATCAGGCTTGTCTCCAGTGTCAGGGATAAAATTAGCAATTTCACTGCAAATCAGAAAACAAAGTAGATCATTATGAAGAACAACCCTACACTCATGAAAAGGTTGTTTCACAACCACCTTTGAAATGTACTAAAGGCAGCTGCCTCACTGTGAAGTTAATTCAATAAGCAGTGGGAATGCAATTCATTTGGTACATACTGTTTGCTAATCAAAGAGTATGCCTTGGCATGTAAGCTGTGTCTGACAGAATGTTAAGCCTGAAAACATATTGTTAGTCCTCAAATTTTTTCAGCTGTGGTCCTAAGAAGAGCATACAACAAATGGCTTGTGTTTGTGCAGGAATAGAAATCTTGACTACTTTATCATTTGTCCTTTTTTCAAATTATTGTCCCACAGAGCATTACCTGTGATGACAGCAAAGCCTGTGAGCAAGCATTCTCAGTAAAACCCAGTCCTGGTATATCTTCTACTGAACTCAAAAGCTCTTTTTTAATCAAAGTTGCCATGGGCCTCCCCTCTTGCATATCTGTGCTATGGGGAACAGGCTGAGAGAAAATGTCATGTCTCCTTCTGAAATGTATCAACTTAGGAGAATTTTCTACTGTAGTTTGAACATGTGGACGTCCACCACCACATGCAGCTGCAATTAAAAGCTGTTAAACCAATCAGCTTGGCTATGGAGGAATAGTTCTTTCACAACATGAGATACAAAACAGTAGAAAGGGGCATGGATTGCTGCTCAGTGTCTGCTTGCAGTTTTTGCAGTGTGTTGCAACTGGGAAACCAGGCTCCTCCTCTGAGGTGGCCACTGCTTTTCAAATTGTACATAATCTCATGACTAACAAACAGCTTCAGAGACCAAAACCTAATATGATGGTTCTGATCCAAAAGGACCCGAGCTTTGCTCTATTTTCAGAAATAAATCAATATGTAAATGAAAATGGCTACTCTACAGATGGCAGAAATAGAGACAACTACAGGATATGTCGAAAAATGCCAAAGGAACCATTTCTGCAATGTAATATTTAATTTGGGGGATGGTGGGGGAAACACACCAGAATTACTTGAAAAGTTCAATCTTATTCTACGTTTGCATTCAGATCTGTCAAAATTTAGTGTGAGAGAAAAACCCAACCCAAATATGACTGCAAAACTGCTGCTAAAAGCAAGATACTGCATTCTTAATGAAAAGCTCTTCCCAGCATTAATTGATAAGCAGAAAATAGTATAAAATATATAAAACCATGCAGCAACTGGCAACAAAAGCACATATGTTATCTATCTAAACACAATAATGTGGTCTTTTATTCTGAAAAGGACAGAATAATCTTTATATAAATAACTGTGAGACAGATCAAAGTAACAAACAGTGAAGCTGGAACTTATGCCTTGGCTCCTAAGTTACTGCAACATTAATGCAGTGAGATTGAAGTGAATTCTGTAAATTCTATTAACTGTGCCACATCCTTTAATTGCTTGTCTATGGATTTTTTAACAGGATCATCGTCAAATGAGAATCAGTTCTGAGTCTACTTCTAGAGCAGTTACTAATATAGAAGCTCAGTTCCTACGTTGATTAACAACATTCAAAGCCTGTGTACTTCTGCAGTGTATTTTAGTAACAAAAATACAAATAAAAATGTAAAATGAGATGCCACACTTGGAAGATTAAATATTAGCTTTGGAGATAATTTTAAAAATCCCTGTCTTTTGCAATAGTTAAAAGTTAGGTAAAGAAGGAAAAAAAGTACATTCATGCAGCAGCTGCTGGTTACACACTTGGAGCTCATGTGAAAAACCTCAACTGCAATTTGGAAACAACATTCCCAGGTATTCCAGCCCCATTATTCCAAGTTATAATCTCAAAGTTTGCTGTAGAGAAAGGCTTACTAAGAGTTCAAAGGCTCAAGTCATTCAGAGCTCAGACAAACTTATTCACAATCCACTCTTTTTTAGTTTTCTGAACAGCTTTGAGGAAGCACAATCTGAGTCAGAGAAGAAAAAAGTTTTTTTTTTTAATGGATATTTTACTGATGCAGCAGATTTTAAAAAGAACCTGGCAGTTTCTTGTTCTTGCTACTTCATGGTCTGAAGAACACTCAGAAAGATGTTTACGAGAGAAAACAAATCCCTGAACATCAAAGTGAGTGTTTAACACTGAAATCCATCAAGAAAGTAGTATTTCAATAGAGAGAAGTGCTCTTCAGACTCTGCAGAAAGAGAGATCCCTAGTCCAATGGACTTATAAAAACACGTGAAGGATGTAAACAGTTGCAAGTGCAATCATACAAGCATTTCTGAATCATATTCCAGTGTTTATAAAACCTTCTGTGTCAGTGTTTTACCATTTCAGATAAAGATTTTCCTTGTTTTTTCAAGTTAACAGTCATCTGGGAAAGCTGCCATAAAAATGGCTCAGTCTTTCTCAAAAATGAGGCATGTTTTCTTTTGCAGGTTGTAGTGTCACAGGCACTGTGGCGTTCATCTGATACAGAAGGGGACAGTGTTCCAAATAGACCTTCCTGACACAGGCACATCCATGCAGACAGCAGAACATTAGAAGGCCATTGACCCCCATTATAATTTTTTTAAATCTGCAACCCTTCTTTTTTTTTTTCTTTTTTTTTTTTTTAAGGGGAAAAAATAGCTCTTCTGTCTTGGCATTAAATTTCACATTTCCTACAATGTTGGCAAGAACTGTCATACATATATGCCTTTAAACTGAAAACTTGCTGTGATTTATTCAAGTCAGAATAGTGTAATAACTCACGTCTTGCAGACTGCTTTTTTTGTAATCTAACAACTAATGGTCTGTTAACACAATATTCCATATACAGAACCTGTACAGTGGTCTGCAGTCTCATTTCTGTATGACAAATGAAGGCTGCTTTGGAGGCAAACTCACTGTAACAGTGTGCTGATATCTTTGATAGAATGTGTGATGGTATGCAGAAAGAAAATCCGTACATCTTTAAAGTATGTAAAGGTAGTTAAGGATGCAAATTCTGCAGTTTCAGGCTTTGCTCATGAGCAAAAAAATATCTACCCAATACCTGAAACCTGATGCATAAATAGAAACGTACATGATCTAGATAATTCAGATAGATTTGTCCACATCAGTAAGGAAAAACAAGACAAGGTGTTCAGTGCTCATGGTAAGAAACCACGTTTGAAAACAAAAACAAACAAACCCCCCCCCCCAAAAAAAAAGAAATAAGAAAAGGCTAAAACAATCCCAATCCCATAATCGTATTAGGCTTTAGTGCAATTTTTTATTTCAAAATACAAAAACTTGTCTTTCAATGTATGTCTCTTTAAATATTTTAAGATTATGCACAAGTTCTGAATAACCCACAGTAGGATGGAGTTTCTTTAAAAAGCGTTAGAAAAGCAGCATTACCAAACACATACATTCAGCACAGCAGCATGTTACCTGAAAGAAACTTACCTTTCTGTGATTGTTTCTCTGAGACCACTAGTAACCCCTTTCACCACTGTACTAGCCTTTGGTGTCAGCACTACTTGAGATATAAAGAAGGAACCTTTCTTTCTTCTTTCAGTGACTGATGCCTGGAGGAATTGAATCAGCTTTTCTGGATCTGTTGTGTTTGCCCAGGGAGCTGGCATCATCTGGCCTGGCCAAAGAAATGCTACCTCAAGAGCCACTGGACTGTGGTAGAACACCAGCACTTGGTGTTCCTTTTCCCACAGGTATTGGAGACTTACTTCATGGGCAAATATAGCAGGACACATTTTGTTTCCGTATGTGTCTTTGAGCATTTGGACAAGCTTTTCGTGATGGTATTTCTGCATCCCGTAGAAGTGATTGAAATCCAGAAAGACCACTTCTTTTGGGTGGTCAGCAAGAAACGCATTGATCTCTTCCAGACCCTCCTTGACTTTGGCACTGAATAAACCATGAGCAAAGTAGAGCTCATTGTCTGGATCTCTGGGCTTGGTAGAAATTCTAAGATCAAAATACCGTATACCTGCCCCCAGCTGGCTGGTGAAGTTCATGGTCTGTGTAGCCAGCCACTTCCTCATCAGCTTTTTAGCCACAGTCCCAAAAACAGACACAAAATTCTGGACCGTCTCTGGCTGTTCAGGACCAACTGGAGAAGCTTCATCGATGTAAAAGCTAAATGAGTCATGAGAACCTAAAAACACAATAGAAGAAAACAATCAATATTGTATTAATGTGTTATTAGTGATTCTTGATAATTTTCTGACCTGTACCAGCATTCACCAACAGACTCCTCCCCTGCCCTTTCTCTCAATATGCTACATTTGTCTCTCAGTATTTACTACAACAGCATGAAGTTCTTGTATGAACTTGAAATAAACAGGCACTGCTTTGATTGCTTGTATGGGCATTTCCTCACTTTCTTATTATGCTTTTAAGGTCACTGAAGTCATTGGGCTTTGAACATCAAAGCAATCCTGGTGTAAGCCCAGCAAAGATAGTCCCATAATAAATCCCTAGAGACAACGAAAACAGGAGAGTCTGGCCCTACACACTGAATTATGCATTGTGTAGATTACGGAAACAAAGAAAAAAAATTAAAACAACTAAAAAAAACCCAGAAAACAAACCAGCAACATCATAGCTGGCTTTATATTGCAGCTAAAATATGAGTTGAAAATGCAAAGGACACTTAAGCTTTCTGACCTTTTCTTTATTTCAAGTCTCATCAACAACGCTGTTTTCCTTCTCAAATTTACCTCAAATTCTGTTTTCCTTCGCTACAGATAGAGCCAAGAATAGCACTGCCCGTCACTGATACAATACGGAAACTCCAATGCATGCTCTTGAACAAGATGTAGTATTTAACATGCCTATGTTCAGAAGTTACCACATTCCACAACTTAACAAACATGAATAAAAAGGTATGAGATACCTTGCTATGCAAAATACTGTTTCTAAGGTGCATCCATTAAGAAAACCCTCAACGACAAAACAACTTATCTTGCTCAGCATTTAGACATTTACATGAAAGCAGCTGAGAAAGCTAAAGACATCACCAAACACATGATCATTCCCCCCATAAGGGACATTGTCTTCATGGAGAGGTGAGCTGGCACTAGAAGATGCTTATCACCCTTGAATACCACTACCCTTCTGAACACTGATGGTGATATCTGGCAGTTTATACAGAAATACTGTTTGGCTGCAGGCAGAGACACAGTCCCACTGTCCCGGCCAGAAGAGATGCTTCTGGTCAGATTCACCATAACAAGCTCCACAGCCTATGTAACACTGCTTGTAAAACTCCTTCAGTGTCAGTAGAACTCTATTTCAGAAATGGGCTGTACCATTAGGGCCTCAGAGACACAAATCCTAGCATCAAAATGAGTTCAGAGCACAGGTCTTGCCTGCTACTGACACTTTTGTAGGTGCCTTTAAAAATTACTTTCCAAAGCATGCATGCTGTGGCAAGTACCACATTAATGAAATCCTGCTAGTCAGCCATTCTTGTTTCAATGCTATTTTAACTGAACTGGAGCAAACCCTGGAAACTGAAGTCACAGCTATAACATTTTCTTCCTTAACAATAAATGGAGTCACAAAAAATTATGGTCGACTCTGGCTAGGATTTGGCCTCGTTTAATCTGAGAACTGTTTTAAGATTTTGTACATCCCTGCTTTTCATGGTTGTCTCTTTGAACTGCCTTTTGCTTTAAATATTAGATAAATTTTCCATTTTGATTAAGCTTTCTGCTGCTAAGTGTTGCAGAGGTAGCATATTTCTTGCAGAAGCTGATTAGATCATGGAGTATCTGGTTACACACTGATATCGCAAGGGACCAGATCTGCATAGAGAATTTTAATGGTAAAACAAATGATTAGAGCAATGACTTGTGTTTCAACAGTATTACAGGGAAAATCAATGAGATACATTAAATGTTCTGCTTAATGTAACCTTCACTAATCTAGAAATCAAAGTAAATCGAGTCTTGTTTAAACCAAGGCATAGCTGCTGATACTAGCTAGGGATGGGTCTTGCAAACCCTCACTTTGTCCATTGAAGCCCCCTTTATTTCAGTAGGATTTTAGGTCAGAAAAAGTATAGGTATAACCATGATCAACTGATTGCAAGGCAGGTTCAAAATGGTGTTAAGATTAATTAAGCCATTTACCCTTTATTGCCTGATCTACAGCCACTGACAACCTGAAGTTGCAGAAGTAACTAATGTCAACCACCATGGCCAAAATACAACAGTGCCAAACATTGCTTAAAATTACTTAGGGGAGGCAGCACAGTTCTCAACGCAGAAATCTAAGGGGAACAAGTTGTCAGCAACTGGTAATGCAAAACAGAGAAGAGAAGGTAGAGAAGTGGAGAACACCACAGTCAGACACTGAATATTACATGCAGGATAGTTTAGAAAAACATCTTGTTTTAATTAAGGTCTTCATGCACATATTTCAGCCTAAAAATGGTGATTCTTTCATAGAAGGTATAGAGAAAAGCACACAGTGCTCTCAGTATCACCATGTATTGTAATCCAAACAAAGAATACTACAAAAATAAAATAAGATTTAACTCAGTTGTCATTGAATGAAGCAGAAGTCAGCTTTCAAGAGACTGAAAAATACAGAAAATGCTTTGTCTTGCCACATGTACAAGTAATCTGTATAGTTGCCTCAGTATTTATTTTCAGGATGCTCTCATCTACATTTTCGTTTGTTTTCATCCTGCCCTGTTGTGCTAACCAGCTTACGCATGTAACTTGAGAACATTCAAAATCTGTACATTTGGCAGAGCAAATTAGAGTATATTTTCCACTAACATGCTCAAAATCACTACGTTCCTGGTAATGAGAGAATTCTGTATGAACATACACTTGTTTTAGCAAACAGGTTTCCTTTCAACTCTTTGGCGCATGGGGATATTCACATTCTATATTGCCTCTGGGAAGTGGACTTGCAGGTTCTGTATATCACAGAAACTCAGCAGTCATGAAGACAGGATGCAGGATACAGTCATGTTGTTCAGCCTGGAGAAGGCACAGGGGAGACGTTATAGAAGCCTTCTAGTACCTTCCAGGGGCCTACAAGAAATCTGGAGAAGGACTTTTTACAAGGGCATGTGGCAATAGGGGAAAAAAGAATGAGTTTAAACTGGAAGAACGTAAATTTAGATTAGATATTAGGAGGAGAATTTTACAGTGAGGGTGGTGAGGCACTGGTACAGGCTGCCCAGAGAATCTGTGGCTGTTCTATCCCTGGCAGTGCTCAAGGCCAGGTTGGGTAGGGCTTTGAGCACCCTGGTCTACTGGAAGCTACTCACAGAAGGATGCTTAGAACTGGATAACGTTTAAGGTGCTTTCCAAACTAAACCATCTTATGATTCTATGAAATACTAATGACTCCTGCAATCTTTAGAAAGTAACAGCACTTACACACTGACTATCTATTGCAGTAGGACACCCTGACCCGATATATACGACAATCAACCACAGAGACTTCACAGACCAAGATATGGAGAAGCAAAGGGAGGGGATTTACTCATCCTTTGCCAGGGTGGAGGAGGAGGAGTAAACTGATATTCATCTTAAGTGCAAACATATTTTCTCAGCAGTGCACTAGGTTTCCTTCACTTTCTTGAAACACAGCATAGTTTTCCCACTATTTCAACAACACAACATGGTGCTGATCCAAGGAGTCAAACAGAAATGCTTGTGGATCGAGATCACGAGGGCGGCAAACAAAGGTAAATAAGGTGTGCACATAGTACAGACTGCCCAGTCAAGAAGAGACAAAGTGGGTAAAACCTTCTTTAACAACTGGAAGAAGACTTATAATTAACAGGGCTTGTTTTTGTGGGGAAGAGATATTTGCTGGCAATCTTAAAAGCAATGTCTTTGTTTAGAATCATAGAATCATGGAATAGTTAGGTTTGGAAAGGACCTTAAGAACATCTAGTTCCAATCCCCCCACCATGGGCAGGGACACCTCACACTAAACCATCTCACCCAAGGCTCTGTCCAACCTGGCCTTGAACACTGTCAGGGATGGAGCACTCACAACTTCCCTGGAAAACTTATTCCAGTGCCTCACCACCCTTACGGTAAAGAACTTCCTCCTTATATCCAATCTGAACTTCCCCTGTTTAAGATTAAACCCATTGCCCCTTGTCCTATCACTACAGTCCCTAATGAAGAGTCCCTCCCCAGCATCCCTATAGGCCCCCTTCAGATACTGGAAGGCTGCTATGAGGTCTCTACACAGCCTTCTCTTCTCCAGGCTGAACAGTCCCAACTTTCTCAGCCTATCTTTATACGGGAGGTTCTTCAGTCCCCTGATCATCCTCCTGGCCCTCCTCTGGACTTGTTCCAACAGTTCCATATCCTTTTTATGTTGAGGACACCAGAACTGCACACAATACTCCACGTGAGGTCTCATAAGAGCAGAGTAAATGAGCAGGATCACTTCATTCAACCTGCTGGTCACATTCCTCTTGATGCAGCCCAGGATACAGTTGGCTTTCTGGGCTGCGAGCACACACTTCCGGCTCATGTTCGTTTTCTCATCGACCAACATCCTCCAGTCTTTCTCCACAGGGCTGCTCCGAATCTCTTCTCTGCCCAACCTGTAGCTGTGCCTGGGATTGCTCCGAGCCGGGTAGAGGACCTTGCACTTGGCATGGTTAAACTTCGCAAGGTTGGCATCAGCCCACCTTCACAAGCGTGTCAAGGTCCCTCTGGATGGCATTCCTTCCCTCCAGCGTATCAACCAAACCACACAGCTTGGTGTCATCAGCAAACTTGCTGAGGGTGCACTCAATCCCACTGTCCATGTCACTGACAAAGAAGTTGAACAAGACTGGTCCCAACACCGATCCCTGAGGGACACCACTCATTACTGGTCTCCAGCTGGGCATTCAGCCATTGACCACAACTCTTTGCATGAGGCCCTCCAGCCAGTTCTTTATCCACTGAGTGGTCCATGTATCAAATTGATATCTCTCCAATTTAGAGACAAGGATGTCGTGTGGGACAGTGTCGAACACTTTGCAGAAGCCCAGGTAGATGACATCAACTGCTCTGTCCATCATTTCCAAAGCCCGATCATAGAAGGCCACCAAATTGGTCAGGCAGGATTTCCCCTTAGTGAAGCCATGCTGGCTCTCACCAAGCACCCTGTTGATTTTTA